AGAAAATTAAAATGATAACTGAAATTAAAAATATTTCGAACATTTTTTTGTTTATTTAAAAAAACAAACGATTTACAAAATTGACGTTTATTTTAAATAAAAAATAGAAATAAAGTAAAATAGGAAAGCTTATTGACAAAACCTAATTAGCATTTCAATTAATCTAAAATCATATTCGTGCATATAGACAATAACTTCTGGCACGTGATTAGTGTTAATGTGGTAAAAGTATCGAAATTTGTAATTACACCAAAGCCTAGAAAGATATATTTGGTATTTGGGCGGCAGTCAATGAAATCTAAATTTTGATAAAATTTTATTTTTGCTGACGCAATATTAAATTTCCATTATCATAATGGAAACTAATTGCCATTATCATAATGGAAACTAATTGTCATTATCATCGAATGGAAATTTTTCTGGTCACAATAATTAAACCAACTGGCGCATTCAAACATTCAGCCATTCTTCAAATAAGCCAATGATCTTAAGTTGTTTTGATTTTTTTTTTTTAAAAAAAAAAAATCTTATTATTCTGAATTCAGTTTCTAAATAACTTCTTTTCACATCAACAACAACCTAATTCTAAAATCACGTGATATGCACTTTAAAAAAATTTTGACTCGGATAAATTGTTCAAAATATTATGAATGTATTTATTGTTGAGCTTTGTGTAAGACAGTAGTTCTATGTAAATTTCCCAGAAACTTTTGTTTTCAAAAGAATTTGTATTGCAAATTCCTTAATTATAGCATCGACACACGATACGTTTGTTTAAAAAAACGAAATAGAAATTTATAGTATTATTTTCTTTTAACAAAACGGACGTTATACTCTTTTGGTATAAATTCAAATCCATTTTCAATTGGTTCTAAATCTATTTCAATTTTTTTCCCGGTTTTATCATCAATCTCACATTCGATATTAAATAAAGTTAAAATCGAAGAAATAATAACTAGAATATTTCTTTCTGCTAAATCTCTTCCTATGCACATTCTACGACCTTTACCAAACGTCTGTTTTTTTTTTTTTGTAATAAATATAATAAATAAATAAATAAATAATTGTATATTTCAATCACATAAATGTAACGTACAGTACTTACTATATCACATAAATCATATTTTCTTAGGATTCCAATTTCGTCTAGATGACGTTCTGGTATAAAAGCATCAGGATCAGAAAAGAATTCTGGGCTACGACTAATCCCCATGAGATTAACCAAAATTGTCGAATCTTTTGGTATAAAGTAACCTTTATAAATATCATCTTCAGTGGAAGCATGTGGTAAAACTGATACAAATGGTGGATTTAATCTCAAAACTTCTTTAAAAGTAGCTTGTAGATATTGAAGATCATCCAAATGGTTTGTAGTAGCCAAGTTTCCTTTACCTACAACCCTATCCAACTCTTCCTGAACTTTTCTTTGTACATTTTGATGTTGTGCCAAGTAAGCAATAAGAAATCTTGTGGCGGTGATGCTCGTAGAAGTACCACCGATCATAAAAGAGCTATTAAGATAATTAAAATCATAAATATCCATCGGATATAGTCCATCCTCTTTATCTTTCTTTCCACAGTCTTGAACGAAAGGGGAAGGGTTTATATCAACAAATTTAACAGATCTTAAAGTTTGAGCGGCAAAACAATTAATATTTTCTCCACCAGGTTCATTCATTCTCTTTTGTAAATCAATTAAAAGCTCTTCAGAAACTTTGTCAACACGTGCCCTTGCTTCCGTTGCATACTTAATAAATCTTTGGTTAAAAGGTAAACATTCCGTCCAGGGAAAACAATCGACGATTGATGCTTTAGGATCCAATAAAACGATTGATTCTTTAACAATATCTACGTATTTTTCAATTAGACTATCACCCAATCCTTTTGAACCATATCCAAATACGCATAATGCCAATATTCTTACCAAATAATAATAAATATCATGCGATGGATTGATGGCCTCTTCATTATATGACAACAATTTTTTGATCATTTCATCAGTCATTTTACGCATAATGGGAAAGTAATGATTATCAACAACTTGAAGTCGTAGCCCCGCTTGTGAAAGTGCGCGCTGTGCCCTCCAATATTCTCCATACTAGGAATCAAATATATTTTAACAAAAAAAAATCATGTTAATATAATAAGGCATTCGATGATTTACTTACGGGACAAAGAACAGCATTCTTGCCTCCTCTCACATAAATTTGTCCAAGTATTTTCGTATTCTAAATATTATACCGTGTTAATTACTGCGTCAACTTTATGGATTTCGATTGATAATTCTTACCGGTCTAGAATTATAGATGGCTCCTTTGGTCACGTATAAATCTTTTACGATTCTGGCATCATTGATGATCACCCAAGTTTTAATTCCCATTTGAAGTTTATAGATTGGACCATATTTTTCAGATAATTTTGAAAAATGTTTGTGAATCGGTAATTTTATTTGATGGGCATTGCCGATCAAAGGCAATATAAATGGTCCAGGTAAAGGTACCGAAACGGTATCATTTTTCGAATTAATTTTAGTATATATACCAAAGAGGGATGTCGAACGGTAGTTGATGTAAAACGTGTAGAAAATTAAATTGGTAAGTAGAATCAAAAATATTTCGATAATCATATTTTTTTTGATATTTTTATTCACATTTGTAATACTATAATCATTTTATAAAAAAAAACCAATGATATCATAAACGCAGTACATTTAGTGTGCCTTTCTGTCTTTCCTAATCCGAATTTGATCTTCACGAGAAATTTCTCATTCGTTTTATTACGTAATGCACAAAAGAATGGGATTTAATGAAATGTAACCAAAGATGACAAATAAGCACTGCCATACGTTCGTGTAGCGTCACTTTTTTTTTGAATTTTTTGATTATTGTTGATGACCCGAATTGAACTTTATTCAAAATCGACTTTTTGAATTTTTTTTTTCTTTTTTAGAAAAACTTTAATGTTAAATTTTCTTGATATCATTAAAAGTTTGGGAAGGGTTTGTTTTTCTTTTCATTGACAATATGACATTTTCCTTTTTCGCATGCAAGGATTTACACAAATTTCATTTTCGTTCGGTAAATATTACCTCATCTTTGTTGTCTCAAATTGTAGATCATGATGGAACAAAAATGCAAACTATCCACCATCATTTCATTCTTAACTGTGATTTATAATCAATCATCGGAATTACCAATCGATGATTGCTTCTTTGCCATCGTAACACGATATAAAAAAGGCTTTTTCATCTTACATTTTCTATGCTTAAGAACATTTGAAACCTTTTTAAATTTTTTTTAATAATGTCACAATTTGCTTTGGAAAAAAAAAAATGAAAATGAAGAAAATGAAAAATGAAAAAATGAAATTAATATTTGTTCATGCTTGCCCCGGATTTCCAGATTATCATAAATATAAACGAAATGATGGGTCAATTAACTTCCAAATTGATGTTCAAATGATAAACCTACGAAAATTAATTAACTTTTGATTTGATAATCTGAATTAATTTTAAATTACTAACGATAATGCGGGAGTAATCGTGTAATCCCAAACTTTAAAATTTCTTCGTTCTTTTTATATGTGTAATCATTAATTAATTAATTTATAAAATAAATAAATAAATAAGTATGTATAAAGATATACATATAAAATAGAGATCGATTGATAATTCGGGTACAAATGTTTCAAGGGTCTTTGACGAATTTTTTGCGAAAGTTCGGAAAAAGGAAACAGCGACTTGCAACGTTTGTCAAGATCATATAATTTTAAATTCGATATCTCTTAATGGTTGGTAGAATGTAATCCCATTTGATTACAGCAGATGTATTGCGGAATTCACAGAAAAAGGCTAGCGACTTTTTATCAAACTACCAATGATAATTAAGGTTTTCATTTAGAATACCCCACAACTCGCGGATTCCATCATTTTGTTACGTTAAATTGAACTGTGAAAACCAATGTTCTTATCCATATACATGCGTATATATATATATATTTACATGAATTATTATTTTTTTTTTTTTGTTTGTCTACTCTTGTCTTAGTCTTGCCTTTTTTTTTTTATTTTAGTATATTAGTTTTTGCTCATGATATTAATTATTTAACAAACATACGTGCAATATATAAAAGTAAATATTTATAAATATTTATAAACGCCAAGAAAAAAAAAGAAAAGAGCAATTTATTTTCTTAATAATCAAACCTTTTTTTTTTTGCTTGAAACATGGGTAAAAACAAAAAAAAAAAAAATAGATCTAGTTTGCCTGTCTGATGGTTTGAATGTTCCTAAAATATCTTTTTATATATTTATAGAAGATAATGGAATGCTTTCTGATTATAGCGACGATACTGAAAGTACCGGGTCAGAACCGAAGGAGAATGATTACTGTTTTATAGATAAGTCTACTTACACGTACATCGACGGGAGGAAATATAATAAAAAATACGAATTGCCAGCAGATGATGAAGAAGGTAATGTATGTTTGAAATCCCCCTTTCGGATTTTGCCGATCATTAAATCCCCCTTCCCTTTTTTTTTTCAAAAGTAACGAGAGAACAACTTCAACATTACTTGATGAGATTTGTTTGGCAGACGAACTTTTCCGCTCCGGTTGATAAATTATTAAAGGAGAGCTCCAATGTTCTAGATGTTGGGTGAGCATGTCTTCGAATTTATTGCATATGATTAAAATAAAGATTGATTTTTTTTTTTTGACAGATGCGGACCAGGTACATGGTTATTGGAAATGGCCTCAGAATACCCGGAATCTAAATTTATGGGCATTGATATTTCAGATGTATTCCCAACTGAATGCATGCCACGAAACGCGGATTTTCAGACAGCCGATATATTAGAAAGCCTGCCGTTTAATGATAACACATATGATTTTGTTTTCATGCGATTTTTGATAACCGCAATTCCGGAAGACAAGTGGACGTCACAAGTCATCCCCGAGTTAATCAGGGTTACTAAACCCGGGGGTTGGATAGAACTCATGGAATCCGACTGTAAATTAGTAAATGAAGGTCCCAATACGAAAAAATTGACTGATGCCATCATGATTGCTTTAAAATCGAGGAATATTAATGGGAATGCGGGAAATCTTTTGCCCGGTTTCCTAGGTTCTTCAACCGGAATAGATAAATCTTCGATCACTCATGAAACCAACGGTGGTCCAATCGGTAATTGGGGCGGAAAAGCTGGAGTATTGGTAAACGTGCATATATGATCTTTTCTTTTATCTTTTTTTTTTTTTTAATCTTTTCATTTTGCATGACTCCACTTCTTTTTTTCCCTAGTCGATCGATACGTCATGTATTTCATTTAGATCGTTAAAGTCATTAGTAATGCGTTATAATCCGGATGTGGAAGAAAATTATTTTTATAATCTGGTTGATAGTTATTCAAAGGAAGTTGAAGAATATGAAACTTCCTGGAAAACTCATAGAGTTTTCGCAAGGAAAGATTTAAAAGCAAATTAATTTATGGCAAAATCATTATGGTTTAGGCAACGATATTTATAGTTTTTTTTAATATGTTATTTTGAATTTTGAATATGTATGAACATAAGTTCTAAGCATTTACGTGTTAAGTATGCATAGTCCTCCCCTATGAAAAAAAAAAAATTTAAGGATACGGAATGTATAGTCACATACATGTATGTACAATCTAGACACATCTAGACAAAGGGTATTTTAACGTTGACCAACGGTTATTATGAAATACTTTATTCAATATTTTTGACTCCTCGCTTGGCTTGCATAAATATATAAATATATAAAATAAACCAAGGCTTTGACCCAATACTTTCTATTCGAGCGGCATTAGCAAAATAATCCAATCAAATTTTCAGGTGTAGTTACTCCTCGCAATAAATGTTGATGCAATGATTAAAAACGAAAGATCCTTTGTTTCATAAATTATCATGGTACATTAATAATTATTTCGTTAAATGACAATATAAGAGTTTCCGTTTGAAATTCAAATGCTTGAAAGTATTTTTTAAAAAAAAAATTCAACCGAATATCGAAATCATCAAATTCATTTTGAATATCGAAATAAATATTTTTCTCGAAGGTCTGAAGGGTGTTTTTTTTTTTTTATATTTTCTTTGGGTACTAAGTGGGTTCTTTTCCGATATTTGAAATAATTTTCGATATACGAATATCAAAAAGCAAACTATCCTCCTATCTTACTTCTCAACAAATATTTGAAGATGTGTGTCACCAATACTATTGGATGAAATTGAAACCGTTGAAATTTTCACCTTTGCGAATGCTAATTATTTTTTTGTTTTGTTTTGGTCGTACGATGACCGATGGGACTTTGTATTTACTAATTATTTTATTGATAATCAAAACATTCAACTTTAATAGTTAGTAATTTAATATACTGTAATTTTAAGATTTTCGTTGAATACATCATACTTCCATACAACATTTTGAACAATTCGTTAAAAAAAAAAAAAAAAAAAAAAATAATGAAATATTCTTAAAAGCAGCAATAAAACCGATGCTAAAATGTATACATCTATAATATCAAAGTAAATAAAAAATTTTTTTTTTTTTTATTATAAATTTTTATATTACAATTTTTTTTTATTTAGACAACATTAATGTTAAAAACATCTAACAAAAATTCTCATTTATTAGGATCACAGCATGCTTGCACTTAGCCAGATATAGATTAACCAATAACTGTTTCTCCCGGACACCGCGTAGAGGTGGCAAGCCTTGTTCGGGTTAAAAAAAAATTACCACAGGCAACATAATATGATGTTAATGGTTACCAGTATAAATAAGGAAGGAAATCCTCTAATACCGAGGAAAACCAAAAAACATATAAAATGTAGCCCTTTGATCCCAAAATAACTCGGTTTAATGATCTCTAAAGCAAAGCTTTAAACACCACTGGTCCATCATTACTCACTTTAACGACTTCTTCACAGGAAATTAAAGCTGGATAGACTGGTAACCGGGTATTATAGCCGCAGGCAAAACGCCCGATAACTCGGTATAATGACCTCCAAGGTTAAACTTCAAAGATCACTGGCCCATCATTACTCGCTTTGACAATTTCTTCACAGGAAATAAAGCTGGATAGACTGGAAACCGGTTATTATAGCCGCAGGTAAAACGCCCGATAACTCGATATAATGACTTTTAAGGTTCAACTGGTTAAACTTCAAAGATCACTGGTCCATCATTACTCGCTTTGACAATTTCTTCACAGGAAATTAAAGCTGGATAGACTGGAAACCGGGTTATAGCCGCAGCCGATAACTCGATATAATGACTTTTACCGTTAAACTGGTTAAACCTCAAAGACCACTGGTTCATCATTACCCGCTTTGACGATTTCTTCACAGAAAAATAAAGCTGGATGGACTGGAAATCGGGTTATTTGGCCATAGACAAAACTCCTAATACTCCTCTTTATTTTTGATGTTGATGTACCAAAGAAAGAACTCGGAAATCTTCAGGTAAACAGTCATTTTATATTGTATATAGAAAAATGTTTAAGTCTTATACTTGAAAAGTAAATAAAAAAAAAAATACAACAAAAAAAAAAAAAAAAAGAAAATATACCTTCGGTGTTGAAGTTTCCGGTCTGCGAGAAGTGGGAAGAAGTAAAAAATTTTTTTTTCCAAGCAAAAAGGGGGTTTTTAAAGCAACGTCACATCAAACCAATTCTATTGGCTCAATCCATCTCCTTATGTAATCATAATGATGACGAATATCGATTTACTCAGCATTATTAAACTAATAGCCCTGTTCAATTCAAACGGATGATTGGTTCAAACAAAAATTGGTGATCGATTTCATAATATTGAAACAAGGCTTATATTATTTCGCGAAAATTTAATCAGTGAATTTTTGTTTGCAGGTGATTTCACTTTGTGAAATTTGACTGGTGATGTTTTGTTAAAAATAAAAAATGAAAAACTTTTCCTTACTATTTTATGATTTAGTGGCAATGTTTAGGAAACAACGACATTTATTTATATATACGTAAGGAGAGGTTTCTTAGGCAAAGTATATTTTTCAAACATCGATAAATAGAACGATTTTTTTTTTCTTATAAAACTTTCTCTTTAGGGGTGGGCTGCTTTTATTCATTTATTGATTGGATGTTTGGAGAATTTATAATTTCCTATCCACAAAATAAATGCGACTATAATATATACATGATCGACAAATGATCGGCATAGTGAAATCCAACTCATTAGATGTGTCCGAAAAGTGGATTTCTCCTTTTTTTTTCACAGTTGTAACAAAGGAGACAACACAAAGCAACGAAAACGTTGAACATATTGGGCCAATAATAAATTTTATAAATTTCTGGGTTTGGGATAAGCAATAGAAGAAAGCCAAATAGCCAAGCGGGCCTCAAAAGTCTAGTACATGCAGTATTTAATGATACGGTTTGGTCGATTTTGTTCATTTTGTGACTGTGACATTTATATGATTTTAAAATGTAGAAAAAAAAGCTACAATCTAATTCGTTTATTATTCACGCGATTTAAGCTGATTGGTCAACAATGCATTGTCAATCTTATATTTAATATATTTAATATGCAAAAAGCACGAGGAGTTGATCGATAACGTGGTCCAATTTTGCGTATCAAAGTCATGATTCCTTTTAAGTACTCTATTTGTCTAATCATAGTATACGTGAATTCACCTTTTTTCAAAAACACATGTTGCAAATATTTAGATAATTTACATGACCAAAACTAATTCAAGAATTAATTACCTACCTTTAATATATTACGATTCTTATTTCCCTTTCGGTTTTTATTTAAAATAGAAATGCCACCACACTGATTATTATTAATATTTATTGGGAAGAAGAATGTGATGGTGTTTCGTGCAGTATGAGTAGAAATACATCTCTTTACATGTTCAATGAACAATGGGCATGTGACATGAGAATAGGACGCAATTAATCACGGCCTCATATGATAATTATATTTTGGAAATGGCAACAGCAAAAAGTTAATTATTTGAACCCGATATAATTATAACGGATAACTTCACTGTTACTACGAACAACGCATTGATTGGTGGATTTTGCTTACCGAAGTAATCTCTGATAACTATCATTGTAAATCCAAAGTCACATGCATACATTTGAAACAAACCAAGTCAAACCAATTAATTTATTGCTAACGATATCAAACAAAAAAGTAATTTGCACATCACACAAATGAATTTTTTTTTTTGAAGTGTTAGATGGCTGAAAGTAATTTTACAGTCACCTCAAACGGTGGTCACAACTTTATTTCTTATTAAATAAAAAATCAAAGTTATAGATTTTTCGCTACCAATAAGTTCCGTTAGATGTTTTAATTTTTTGAACCCTAATTTTGCAAATATTTTTAATTTATTTCTTACAAGTATATTATTGTATAAATTATAGAGGGATTTATGGACCCCAAAAGATACAAAAAAAAAAAAAAAAATACTCTAAAAAAAGGAATAAAAACATTTGGTTTCATCGTCTTTTTCACTCATGAACATTCAATATGTATCAACAAAACGCCATCAATACAAGCAATTATATTCCGCAAAATTCTCAAATTGATTCCACTTTCAACAATTTAATTCCCGGACAGGACGTCCAAATCGTTAACGATACGTATCAAGCGTCTCAAGTGTCTACGGCGGCGGTGCCATTATATATGAATGAAGTTCAACAGGCAATGAATCCAAGTCAGCTTTCACAATCTACCCAAGCATATAATTCAAATAACTCCGATTTCTCGTTCTTCTATTGCTTCAATTTTCATCCTTACCGTGTTAATTGTGAAGAAGTACAATTATCATTTGAAACGTTCTCTCAGATATTAAACAATATTGACAATAATTCTACCTACAATGTTTATGTGTTCTATCATGGACAAATATTAACGAAGAAAATTTATAAAGTAACCTGTGAAATGATCTCACATATATCAATGTTTCAGTTTTTAAACAAAAATATTTATGGAATCGAATTTAATCAGACTGAACAACAACAGCAGAAACCTTCTAGGCAGCATCTTGAAAATCTTAAATTACACTTGAAAAATGATTTGGCTCATTATTTTTCATCCCAACAAATATATGAAGAGAAACATTTTCAGCAAAGTAATGAAAATACTTTTTCCAATGACCAATATTTTACTCCTCAACAGGATAATAGTAGTCATGGTATGTTTCACAACCCCTAAAATAATTCTTGCGTTTAGTGTTACGAACAGATCTTTCATTAAGTTCAATATTTTTACGGTAGTTATTATAAGCAAAATACATTAAGATTTAGATTTATGAATAATATTAAGGTTTTTAAGTTTGAAAATTTTTGGAATTCAGGAAGTGAAAATTTCCGTTATCATTTAAATAAAAAATATATACTGGTATATGTGTAATTTTAAACGAAGAAATGTTGTAAAGTATCTTCACTCAATGGGATCCTCTCTCCTTTTTTTTTGAGCTAT